AAAATATATTTCTTATAGTGGGCAATGGTAAACAACAAAAATAAGGCAGAGAAATCCTACTCTGTGACATATAATGAAATATGTTTTTAGGTTATTCTGTCAGCATTTCAAAGACAGATCCTCATTAAGAGTTGGTGTTACGTTAATGTTTACTTGATCCACGACACATTGTGTTGTCGTTGTTTTCCCACGGTAGCAGTATCCATTGTTATTGTGTTATTTTGTATAGTTGGAGTTGTCGTTGACCATTTTCTAAACACCGATAAATATTCATGATCTCTCACCCAACCACATGCCAGGCTCAACTTTATAATGCAATCACTCCTGTTCACCACCAGAGGTCCTTCTTCTCATATTGATTAGTCCTTGACCTTTTTCACAGACTGTGATGACGCGTTTGGTTTTAATGGTCAGCATCATAACAACGGTTTTTTAAAAATCACTTTATTTCTTTTTTTATTGTATGTAAATTTATAGCACTATATTTTGCATTATATTACATTTGCATTAAATTACAAAAAACTATAGTTTCCTTTGTTGTGACTAATCTCTCTCTATGTTTGTCCCCTTTTGAAAGTTGTGAGAACACTATTATGAAGTTTTTCTTTTGCTATATGAACAAATGGGAAGACAAACATATATATTTTATGAATTTTCTCATTCACCACGTCCGAAACCGCATACCATGAAGACTTCCGCGTCTGACAAACCCGGAAATGTGAAAAGAGTTTAACAGCATTCCAATGTTTATTATTATTATTATTATTTTATATTATTACAATATAGAATTTAATTACAAACAATTAAGGTATAAATCAACGATCATAGAGTTGTATTGTTGCTGGATCACTTAGAGAGGAAAAAAGAAAAGAAAAAAAAATAGAAGAGAGAGAGATAAAAAAGGGGGTGAGAAAAAAGTTTCGTAGCCTATATCTGACGAAGTAGAAATTTCTAAAAGTAAACAACGTAAAAAAGTATAAAATGACCGAACATAAATGTTTTTGTTAATCATTATTATTAAATGATGTTGAGAGTCTTTGAACACTAGATGGCGCTATATTCCTAATTTCTGATAAAGAGAATCCCCTGCAGGTCCTCTCTCAAAAATGAGCGCACCTGTGGGAGCAATAGCCTAGCCTACAATAATAATAATAATAAAACACTTTCAATCAATTGGAGTTTTTAAACACAGGGAGGCTATAAACCACCAAATTTTAACCTGAGCAATGGGGTGAAACCACGTTGGGCTTTAAAATCGAAGGTGCCATTCACTCCCATTATTAGTTAAGCTAGGATGAGCCAGGATTTTTTTTATTTAACTCTGATTGTGTTAACCTAAACATTTCCAAAACGGAAAGAAGATTCAGGGTCTTTCTGTCCATCATCCAAAGAAGAGATTTTGCAAAAAGCTTCAAGTCATTCTTCCATCCATTGAAATAGGGTTTGATATTTAAATATTTACATCAGTGAAGTTTTGACCTAAAACAATCAGATGGTTTATCAAAAAATCTAAGTTTTTATCAAGCGATAAGACCCTTATTCATCGTCTGCAATCGTTTAAAGCCCTTTGAACAGTTTGTAGTTTGCACTGAAACTGTCTTTTGGACCTTGAACCGTTTGGACCCCATTGAAGTCCATTATATGGAGAAAAATCCTGGAATATTTTCATCAAAAACTTTAATTTCTTTTCGACTGAAGAAAGAATGACATGGACATCTTGGATGACATGCGGGTGAGTAAATTATCAGCAAAAGTTTTTTGAAAAGTGAACTACTCCTTTGATTGAGCTCGCATTCAAAGGGAGAAGTGAATCTCCTTGGATTGTAACCAACTCTGAAATGCAAGACAAAATTCTTGTACAAATTCACATTGAAAGAAAATATGTTCAACAGTCTCAATTTCCTTCTCACAAAACCCACATGAATTGTTTTCCCAACTGAATATTTCATGTTAAAAGCAATTAGATTGATAAATGTCATTCAATATTTTAAATGTCACTTCTTTTTCCTTTGGAAAGATTGGGTATATGATAAACACCGCTTCCTTATTTTTTTAACCTCTTCGTCACTGAAATCTTTTAGAACATATTTTCTTTTCAGTTGACCAGGGAAATACTGTTTGGAAAACACATTTCTTATGAACTTATTTTTAAACTGTTTACTCTTTAACGAAATTCCTTCAATACAAAGAGGTCTCATTTCTAAATGAGTGCATTACAAACTGTTTAATCATCATTTTCAGGGGTGTCGGGATGGCCTTCAAGCATTCCAATGTAGCTACTGGATATACTCCTGCATATCCCACAAAGATCCTGTATATTGTTAATTTCCCATTCATATTTGCAAGCTGGCGTTCTGTCTCATGCACCTACTTTTGGTCTTGTCTGGATTGGTCTATGGATTTGTCATTTTTAAATGCTTATTTGTTATTGCTTGTATTTTTAGGTGGACAAATCCATCCAAACACACTTCACACACACACATAGTTGTAGTACTACCACAGACAGGGGCCACAGTGATTTTGGGAGGTGTCAGGTGAAGTACAAGCCTAAACACATAATCAGAGAGAATAATAGGTGAACCGGAGGAACAATGCATGACCTTCTAGTGGTTTTAACGTATTTTTAGGTGTGACATTGTTTTTGAAGTTTTGATGACTGATGTGATTAATGATTTTTACTTGCGCTATCACTAGGCTACACCCATCAAATTATATATAAGATAAGATAAGATAAGATAGTACTTTATTGTCCGTGTACACGGAAATTTGTCTTGCAACCCAAACCCCAACAATTATAACACACACAAACTAAAAACAAAACATACAGTCATCAATAAAAAGTATACCAAAGTACTTAAATAATATTATGGGCACTCCGCCCTGCAAGAGTGTTCTTCAGCTACAAGTGGGGGGAAAACTATCGCTTCTTTCCCTCATGCGTTGATTCAGCATCGATATTGACAGAGGAACAAATGAGTGTTTGTATTTGTTCTTCCTGCACTCTGGGACCCTATAGCGCCTCCCAGAGGGCAGGAGTTGATACTCCTTATTCAGCACATGAGAGTAATCTTGGGAGATTTTATGAGCCAAGCGTACAGTATGTATTTCATGACTTTCAATAAACGCCTTCTCAACCGACTGTCCCACCAATTTTGAACAAATTCCCAGGAGCCGAAAAATCCTCGCCTTCAATTGAGCTGAGAGGCCCCCAAACCATATATATATATATATATATATATATATGATATTTATATACATTGATATCATATGATATATGATAATATGCAATCAACCCACCCGTGTCATTTAAAAATAACGTAAGTTATTAAAATATTTGGCCTTTGTATTGTACAGAGGACGAGAAATCAACTTGACAGAGAGAGGAATTGTATTGGAATCATGTTGGCTAAACTCCAAACCTTTTCCCTCATGTTTGATCACAAGGCCGACCTCGCCTTTGAATGTTTAGCCCTTTCCTTCCTTCTCTGATTTATTTTCTGAGGCTTGTGATAGTTCATTATTTAATCTAATCTGTTTAAGTAAAACCACGAGGTGAGTGAAGCGACACGATTTGTACTGAGATTTCCTTCAGTCAGTCAGTCAAACTTTCGTGAAAAATAGGACAGATGCAAACTGTAAATATCAATATTACACATTCATTGGATTCATATCTTTAATAAAATATGGCAATTTTGCAATATTTTGCTGAGCCTGGAACAACATCTCTGTCTGAAAATGTTGTCCTGATGAAACCAGTCCTACATGACGCACCCAGAGGTGTAGGACTGAGAACAAGGCACCAAATTTTAGCTTCCTTGTCAGTAACCTGCCTCCTCCGGTTACACTCCCTATTCCCAGGCCTTCGACCAATCCCTATTTCCCTGGAATCAAAGGGAAATGTGATTATATGTGAGAATAACACTAATGTAGAAGCACCTTACCCTGGTTTTTAGCCTAAAATTGACATAAACACTAAATTTGACGTTCAAATCTGATTATTTGATTGGAAATATGTTGATTTAAAGAAAAATTCAAATTATGTCAAAAAATATATTAAACACACAAAAAACATATTTTGAAGAATGTTGACAACGTTGCTGGTACCCATCGACTCCAATAATATATTCAATAAAAATATGGAAGTCCCTATGGGGACCAGAAACGGTTTGGTTACCTATATACATTCTTCAAAATATGTGTGTGTGTCTGTGTTAGACTGAACAAAGAAAGTCATACAGGTTTGGAACAACTTAAGGGTGAGTAAATGACAGAATATTCATTTTTGGATGAACTATCCCTTTAAGAACATGTTTTAGACTACACGGTAAAATCACCAATAAGATATATAGCCTACAGTTTTTATCAATTAAATGATTATTTCTATAACCATTTGGTGTCACAGTGTTTATTTATGAAATGCCTACAGCGAAATGTCATTCCACAAAACTACTATCCTACTGACCGAAGTACTACACTAATACGATACGCCTTCTGGGTATGTGGCAAGAAACAAACAGGCAAATGATGCAGTGTTGCTCTCATTTCTGGTAAAGAGCCTTGAAATAGGTTTCATTTTCCTGAAGACCCCCAGCGAGACACTTCTCAAGACTGAAAGCAAGGTAGATGGCACTTTTTTGTTACTAATGTATCGAATATTTAATCCTATTTTCGATTTTTCTTCAACAATTAAACGTGTTTATCGAATAAATGCTCAATAAGAGTTTGTTTCGTGTTTTTTCAGAACGCGTGCTAAATGCGCAATGATATTTTATTTCATGTTTATATATGTTTAATCTGAAAACTTTTACCTTCACAATAAGCACAGTGATCATATTATTGCCAGCTTTTAAAAAGATAATCCTATACATTTTCAGAAAGTTTGTATTTTATCGGTCAGATTCTCAAAATAGCTTTTTTTTCTCCATTCACGGAAAAAGGAACGGTTAATAAGTTCACTTTCACCTGCAAATCTGTAAAACTTTTAAGGGAGTTTATAACTTGACTTATTAACAGAAAACAGGGACTTTGAGATAAATAAGTGTAATGTGAGCCCCCCTCCCCCAGGAATATAACGTTAGCAAAACTCACTTTTTTTTTTTTTTGGAAACCTTGTCCCAATCGACCTGAATTCACCCTATAGTTTAATAGTCTAGAGAATAAAGTGTGAAACATTTCTAGGCAAGAAAGGCATTACTCTACAATCACCACGTTATCCTTATCTATATCTCTATCACTTTCCATTCTGTCTTTGCAGTCATGGCACATACAACCACAGTTGTGACAACCCAGCATGTCTCTTCTGGGACCTGGACCACAGGCATCTGTGACTGCTGTTCTGACATGGGCACTTGTAAGTCACCTACTGAACCGTGAACTCTCGGTTCCCTTTTCCCACATTTTGTTTAAATGTGCACTGCAATCTGATCCTGTTTTGATTTTGCATAATAAGTTCCAGCGTTGCACGGAAAATGTCTTAAAAATCAGGCGTCGCCTCGCCTCTCACAAAGCACTAATTAAAAAAAGAAAGGCCTACTTTATGAGATTATGTAGTTGACTTCAGTGCAAAGATTATTTCTCAATCACTGCTTTTTCATTTTTTTACATTTATGGTTTCTGTTCCTGTTTATAGTGGGAAAAATGCAGCACTAACATTTTTAGACCTTTTTAGCTTCGGATAGAGATGTGGTTTGTGACTAGTGCTTTAGTGCAGCTCTAAAGTCAACCCATGTGTGTGTGTGTTTCAGGTTGCTGTGCCCTGTGGTGTTTCCCATGTATGCAGTGTCAGACGGCCTCTCAGTTTGGTTGGTGTTTCTGCATGCCGTTGCTGGATTGCTGCATGATTGTGTCCTGCTGTCTCCGCCAGAAGATGAGAGACCAGTACGGTATCCATGTGAGTTTACACACACACACACACAGATGCACACATGTGCTGCAGATGACATTATAGAGGAAATACTAATAGGATGTCAGTAAAGCTCGTATAGGGGAGATGAGAAGATATGTTAACCGCTTACAACATCCTGTTTGTTGTTGGTCTGAAAGTGCCCTCACACAAAAATACTACAAACAAAATCAGTAAAACTTTGTGTATGTAAATAGGCGTGTTTGCTGAGGAAGTGCATGTGTCCGCAATCAACATGGAAACCATTGATACTTTAGTTATATTGTTATGTGGGGTGAGCTCAAAAAGAAAGAAGAGCTGGATCAAAATGCAGAGTTTAATGATTAAAGGTGCCATATGTAATAATTGAGGTAACAATATACGAAAAATGAGCTACACGCATCAAAAGAATGAGAAGAAATAAGTGCAAAGATGTCATTAAAAAACTGACAAGTTATAGTGCTGCCGAGATATTAACCTGAATTAGCATGCTAAATTACTAGCCCCGGCCCGGCAGGTATCGTAATACCAGTTCCGGCCATGGGAGGCGGTATGCGGACGGGCAACGTTAGCACCAGCCAAACTGCAATACGCGAGTGAGTCGCGCTCGCGCCGGCTTGTGTGTGTGTGTGTGTGTACTTGAACCTGATGTCAGTCGTGTGGAAATACAGCCCACTACTACATTTCAGTTCAGGGAAGAGTTCAAAAAATGATTGGTCGACATTATGCATGAGGTATACATTTTGGTAAGTTGTACCATACTGTATCTTTCACCAGTGTTCGTGTTCTTTTTCCAGCTAGTAGAGACGATCGGTTCACGTGCGCTAGGGATCTGTAGTGTAACATGTACAAGCGCCAAAACGGTATTTATTCTTTGAATTGCGTAATATAATTGACAGAATCTGAGAGCTTAACTAACCTGCTTGCTAAGTGTCAATTGCGTGTGTCTCACGGTGAATTCACGGCGCTAGCTTGATCAACATCAGCGAATGCTGTCTGTCAAATTAATTCACTAACAATAAAAGTGTAATATGAACAAAACGAATACCATAAACTTCAAATAATTGCCCAAGCTTTTATTTTCCCATACCGTCGAAATGCACCAGCTTGTTTTTGAGATCTATGAGGCGGTCTTCATCATTTAGTGTTGAGATTCATAGTGTTTAGTTTAGTTCACTCTAGTGTTTAGTTCATTGAGTCTCTGATCTCTAAAAATCTCCAAATGTTCCACGTGAAATTGCGGTCTTCCAACCTTTTACTATCATGTCAAATGATTTGAATAACATGCGCGATGGTAGGAGCACAAGTCATTTTTTGGAGGTATACTGCCCCCATCTGTTATGGAATATGGAGTAGGATTTGATTTATTATGGTAGATGGCACCTTTAAATAAACAGGGGGGTATTCCAGAAAGCAAGGTTATCTTACCGTCAAACATACCCTGAACTCAAACCTTTGCTAAACACGTCTGGGAGTAAGTTCAACTCAGAGTATGTTAGCGGTTGGTTAACACACCAGACTTTCTCAACAGAGCATGAATCGATGAGTCATTGTGGAGACGGTTAAGAAAAAGCGCGCCATACTTCTTCTTTATTGCATATCACCACCTATTTGGTGGTTGCGCAATCGTTTAGTTTCATATGATATGAAATAGTTTTATGATTTGACTTAAATAACAGTTTGTCCTTGCAAAGATAACTCGTCTGTCAAAGTTTATTTTTCATGTTTAGTCATTTTGCTTATACTTGAAAGGTAAGAAATATCATAAATAGTTTTCATAAATATTGATCATAAACATTGACAAGACCAAAGTGATCTGTGTGTTTTTGTCGTCGTGAACTGAGCTATCATCATCGTAGCACATCCAGTCTGAAATACCACTTGATGATGGCCAAGCACACACACACACACACACACACACGAACGAACATGCGAATTCTCCACCCCCTCGTCAATGTCAGGACCTCGTCAGTATTTCTTTCACCCTTTTATTGATGGACAGTGTTACATTGTGAGATTATTTGGTCCAAGAGAGAATGCTAGTGTGAATTTGAACACAATATATGCCAATGTTGTTGTCAATAAAAAAACATTTACACAAAGCAAGCCGATCCACTCGATATTCCATGTTGATAACAGCATTAAAATGAGAGAAAATAATGAGACAAAAAGAAATCAAGAGACATTTAGAATAGATAAAATGTGCGATTAATCGCGAGTTAATTATGATATTAATGCAATTAAATATTTTAATTATATATATGTGTGTGTTCGAATAAAATAGACTTTTTATGGACTTTTTTTTTATAGTTCTTTATATATCGATATAACTATAAATATATATAATATTATGTGCAAACGAACTAATCCTGGAACTTGAGCTGCTCCGGTGCAGTCTTTAAGGGACAGTTCACCAGTAAATATAAAAATATCTGTCATTACTCATCCTCATGTTGTTTCGTTTATGATGTGTTTAACGTGTACAGTGTTGGGTAAGTTACACTAAAAAAGTAATTCATTACTAGCTACTTATTACACTTTCAATATTGTAATTATAATACTGTAATAATTCCGCTATAATCCCATATAAACCTCGACCAGTTAAACAACAATTCGCTTAATTCTTTCAAATAGATAATATAAAACTGCATAAATTATTCTTGAACTGAAAAAAAGTATTTACAGGGTGAAGGTTACATTAAAAACAGAAATCTTAGCATTGTCATTCACTCTCAGAAAAAAAGGTACAAAAGCTGTCAGTCACTGGGGTGCATATTGATACCTTCATGGTATGCACCTACAAATATGTACCATGAAGGTACCAATATGCACCCTTTAGGTACAAAAGTGTACCTTTTGAAAAGGTACCGCCCCAGTGACAGCTTTTGTACCTTTTTTTCTGAGATTTATGTTCTAATTATAGTGTGTCATGTAATTACATCAGAAGTTTAATAATGTTAAAATGTATGTTTCATTTTTATTTAATGTGAATGCAGAACAACGTTGGTCCAAAACTTTCTCTGAACAAAACCACTTCTTTTGTGTTTTGTGTAAAAGAGAAAGTCATACTGATTTGGAACAACATGTCAAGGACCAAATTTCATATTTTATTAGGGCCCAAGCCCTGAAAGGGCGAAGGCCCTATTGTTTTCCTAAGGATTATTTTTCTTTACTATTATTATTATAATTATTATTATTTTACTACCTTTTGGGCACTTTTGGGGCCCTTAACGTGCTCGAAAACTCTTGAAACTTTGCACACGGGTCAGAACCCGCGGCCATCAGAGCCGGGCTGAAGCTGGTACCCGGGCGTGGCAGGGCGGCTCGTCAGCGCCCCCTGGAACGGGGTCCGAACACTTGGTCCATAACTCAAACACGCTTGTATGTAATAATATGAAACTCGGTACACATGTTGATCTCATCGTTTCATCTATACCTCGCGCTCTTACTTTTTACCCCAGCCCAACAGGAAGTCGGCTATTGAGGTTTGTTTGTAAAACGATCGCAATGGAATGTCAAATACTCCTCCTAGAGCTTTGATCCAAATTCGACGAAACTCGGTCAGCATGAAGTCAAGACATTGAGGATGAAAGTTTGCGAGGGGATTTTTTATATCTCGAACGGTTTGTCCGTGGCGGGGAAACGAAATCATGGCGAGAAACGTGAAACAGGAAGTGTGTTATAACTTCAGCATACATTAACTGATCTTGATGAAACTTCAGCAGTGTGTTCGCTGTAAGAGGACGATCACATGGATGTGACTATTGTGAGTCAAAGTTATAGCGCCACCAACTGGCAGCAGGAAGTGTGTCACTTTCAAAATGCTTAGATATCACCCTTTTATTTTTACCCGATTTGCTTCAAACTTCATATGTATAATGGAAACATACGGCAGATGAAGACCTGTGAATGGATTCTTGATATCTTTGAAACTGTTGCCGTGGCGACGCATCAAACTTCACCCTTCTTTTAGGATGCTTTTAGGATGCTTTTAAGACCCTTAGCATGCTTCAAATTGCATGAAACTCGACAGACACATCACATTTATTAGCCAGTAGACATGTGCAAAGTTGCAGAAACGGGCGTGGTGAGGGCTCAGTAGCGCCACCTTTTGACAAAAGTGGGGTGGTTAGTTTTAACTAGAGTTACAAAAATTGGTATGTATATTGTACTCCTCGAGCCGGACAACTTTCTAATTGACACTTATTAGCTAGGACCCACGGAAAGTCAGATATTTTTGTTTGAATATGGCCACTCTGAGCCTACATGTGTCTTTGGCTGGCTGGCTGGCTGGCTGTCTGTGTGTGTGTGCAGGGGGAGGGGGCTTAACCATTTCACTGCTGTGTGTATGACCTGCATAAAGAAAATACATTTCTCAAGCCTGGTATTTTTTAAATAAGTTTTTATTTTTATTTTTTATAAGTAAAGGCATATAACTAGTTTTATTGTAGTGAATTGACAATAGTTTTATATAATTAGTTTATTAATCAGATTAACTTGGTCAATAAACTTGGTCTGAAAATTTGGTCCATAAATCAAACACACTTGCATGTAATAATATGAAACTTGGTACACATATAGATCTCATCGTTTCATATATACTTCACACTCTTAATTTTACCCCAGCCCAACAGGAAGTTGGCTATTTAGGGTTGTGTTTAAAACACATGCAATGGAATTTAAATTATTGCTCCTAGAGCACTGAACCAAATTCGACGAAACTCGATCAGCGTGAAGTCAAGACATTAAGGATGAAAAAGTGCCACGGGATTTTTGATATCTCGAACGGTTTGGCCGTGGCGAGGAAACGAAATTATGGCGAGAAACATGAAACAGGATGTCTGTTATAACTTCAGCATACATTAACTGATCTTGATGAAACTTCAGCAGTGTTTTCGCTGTAAGAGACCGATCACATGGATGTGACTATTGTGAGTCAAAGTTATAGCGCCACCAACTGGCAGCAGGAAGTGTGTCACTTTCAAAATGCTTTGAAATCACTCTCTTAT